TGACCCCCATGAGGGGTTCCATCAGTAATTTTGCCTTGTTCTAGCAGCCACCTGGTATCTGCAGGGCTAGGGGAGGACAGGAGTCAGACTGTTGTCACAAATCTGGGGTTCCGGGGCCACGGTCACCCGACAGTGAATCCTGTTCTGAGAGCCTCCTGGTGCTCTGTGTCATGCTTTGGGGCACAGGGTAACCATTGAGGCCCATTCCAGCCTCTCTGAATGCACACACAGCCTTTGTCTACTCTTAGCACCACCTCCTCAACTTTCCCCACTTCCATCCCCCACCTCACTAGAAAGGAAAGAGTCCGGCACCTGGACGACATCCTCAGTGCCACAGGAGGGAAATGTCACAGCCCTATTCTGGGCTGGGAGTGAAGAGGAATCCTCTGTTTGAAACAGAGGATTTGGGTCTGCAACAGGAGTGAACAGTTTGATGACCATTTGAACTTCACCTGACCTTGTCCCCTGATTCACCCGTTCAGCTGTTGGGATCTGCCAACTGGCTATGCTCTTCTGGGTCTTTGACCGGTAACCTTTCATACACAGTTAGCGGTACTGGCCCTGGAATGGGGACATCTGGCCAGGGCCATATGCATTAGTATCTGTTTAGGTTCCATTCAGCCATCAGTTCCATGTAGTTTCTCATTCTCTGTTTCAGCTCAAACCCAGTCTTCCCTAAATATTTTTTGAACACTTACTGTATGGAAAACACTTGGCCAAGCTCTATTGTGAACAGAGCTGATGACCAGGCACTTGGTAGGCAGCTGGCACTTTGTAAAGACTTGGCAAATTGAGTCCCAGGAGTTCTGGAGTTCACGTGGTCAGGAAAAGAAAATGTAACCATGCTGGGTCAAGAGACAGGTGTTGTCTTTCTCAGAGGTCTCAGGGTGAAAAGAAAGGAAAGTCTGAACCCCTTTGTGCCTGCCGTAAGCCTGCCTCTCCCTTTACGTAAGTGACGGCCTGGAAAGGTAGGCATCTTCCAGGCTCTCTTTTTCCTGTTGGAACCTAGGGATTTATTTATTCAGTGATCATTTCTTGAGCACCTTCTCTGCACCACACATTGTGCTGGTACTGGGATAATGAAGCCTACCTCCCTCACCAACCTCATGGGAAGCTGCACGGACTGAGTGAGGCAAAGGAAGGGCTCTGTGAAACGTGCAGCACTGCCTGCTGCCGCCTAGGGGCCTGGGGAGCTTGCCAGCCCCTTGCACATCCCACCTAGAGGCTCCCCTAAGGTGAGCCGTGTCCTTGACCCATCATCACACCCACATCTTTCTTTCTGTTACTGGCCAACCAGGCTTTCCTTGACTTGGAATAAATGGCTTCCTAGCTTCTCCCCACGCAGGCTGTTTTCTGGGCCAGGGTTTGTTTGAGGCCCTGTTTGGATATTGTTAAAAGTGGGCAGCTTTGCTCAGAAAGGTCAGCATGAGAGACGAGAACAAAGAGATCTTTCAAGCTGGCCTCTGGCAGGGCAGCCAGGAATGGCTCGGAAAAGCCCCAGCTCCACCTGGCACTGGCAGCTTCAGAGCTGTGACGTGATTGCTCAGGCTCACGGCCATCTGCAGAGCCCTGGAGAAGCCCCGTCGTGTGCCTTCTCATTTCTCAGAGGGGTAAGCTGAGGCAGAGGGGCATTCCCAGGTCAGTGTTAGCTGGGACCCCGGATCTCTCCCTGTACAGCCCTGGATACTGGGATCTCTGTTTTGTTTTTGTTTTTTTTCTTGAAGGGCATTCAATAAAAATTGGGATTTACCCAAAACATCCCTGAAGGTGATTATTTGGTTTGCCAAAGAATTCCTGGGAGCTTATATACCAGAATCCCTTACAGATTTGAAAGTAGTAAAAAGACACAACTTTTAGATACAGAATCCTAAAGTGCATAAGATGCAATGCTGATGTGCTGATTCCTTGAGGGTGTGTGTGTGTGTGTGTGTGTGTGTGTGTTTTGGAGGGGAGTCTGCGTTTTTCCCAAGCTTCCAGGTAATGCCAGTCTGCTGGTGCAAGAGTGTTGGTGATGTAAAGGCTAAAGGCTGAGCTCATTCGGCAATGCAGAGAGAGGACAGTCCTTGCGGTGGAGTGGGAAGAAGGGGCCACAGTCATTCTTGGCTTTGGCCTTTTGGTAGCAGATCCCAGGACCTGCCAGCCTCCTCTGGGCCACAGGGCCCTAGGCAGCCCGGGAGTCCAGCCTTCTTCAGCCTGCTGCTGTTGGGCCCAGCTGCCAGGGTTGTCTTAGACTGATATCCCAGAATCAGCCAGTTCTTTTCTCTTCCGGGAGCTCATGAGGTCTGTCCTTTTACTCAGTTTACTGCAGTCTGTCTTTTCCCTGTCTTCTGTTGGTGGCTGGTGCGAGGCTGTCCCCTAAGCTGGCCTGGCCTATGGGACCCTTCAGCTTTGTGACCACCTTCCTCCTACCAGCCCCCAGCCCCACAGAGGACAGAAGAACAGGCTTCCTGGTAGATAAACCAGGCCCAAGGACAGGCCCGGGCCCCCCACAGGAAGCTTCTTTGGTTCCACTGGGGCCTCTGTCTCAGGAAATAACCCAGAGCTGGGGAGCAGGCCATAGGCCCAGAGGTTGGGACTATAGGCACGGGCACCACCACAACCCAGCTAATTTTTGTAGTTTTAGTAGAGATGGGGTTTTTACCATGTTGGCCAGGCTTGTCTCGAACTACTGACCTCAACTGATCTGCCAGCCTCAGCCTCCCAAAGTGCTGGGATTATAGGCATGAGCCATCACACCTGGCCCACCCCAGAGTCCTTAATTCAGCAGGTCTGGGTGGGGGTCTCAGAATTTGCATTTCTAACAAGTCCCTGGGATACGGATGCTACTAGTCCAAGTACCACATTTTGAGGCCCTCTTGTCTGAATTATCATTTCTGTCCAGGTGTGGTAGTGTCTCATGCCTGTAATCCCAGCACTTTGGGAGGCTGAAGTGGGAGGATCACTTTAGTCCAGGAGTTCAAGACCAGGCTGGGCAACATAGCGAGACCTCATCTCTGCAAATAAATAAAATAAATTATCATTTCTTGGAGTGTGGGACGAGTACTTCTAGTGACACACAATGTGGTTTTAAGTGATGTGCACACTAACTTTTAAAAAATACTTCTGTTATTATTAAGGGAAGGTGAGTTATCTACTCACCTTAAAAGAAGAAGGAAGATATAAGGAAAAGTATGACATAAATAATAGTACTGGCGATAGGCAGCTAGTAGTAAACATGGTGAATGAGGTATGCAGTCTACAGAAGTCTGGGAGACACTGAGCTAAGTGAAGTCCTCATTTTACAGACCGTACCCAGACTTGATGGTCTCTAAGGAGGCTGAGGTTCCCTGTCCTGCTTGCCACTCCCAGGTCTTCAGAGCACTTGGCAGGCTAGGGAAGGTCATCGTAACTCTGATCCTACCCCAAGAGTCTCCATTCTCAACTCTGAAGACAAGGGTCTGTGTTGGTAATGTTGGTAGTTTGCACGGTTTTTGCTTGCATGTCCTGAGGCCAGAGCTTTCCAGAAGGTGAGGGACTTGATCTGCAAATGTGTCCTTTCATGGCTGCCAGGCCCCAAAGCCCCCAGGAGCCTGTTTTGTGCATGAAATTGAAGCAGGGGCTTATGTAACTTTCCTGGCTGCCAGTTTGGGCTGTTCACCCTCTGTAATCTTAATTTTTCTAAATTCGCTGTCCAGCAGCCTCTGCTTTCCCTTGTGTGGTGTGATCCAGGGAACCCCCTGAGCGGATGAGCAGGGCAGCCCTCACACTTTCCTGAGCATGTGCTACGTGGCAGGAGCTGCTGGGCGGAGCTTTAGGAACGTGGGAGTGATGTGCCTGGCCCTCAGGAGGCCACAGTGTGCAGTGGTCAGACCTGCAGGTGGAAAATGACCTTGAGAGGTTTTACTTGCTTCACAAGAGGAATTAACAGTCAGGGCAACATGGGGAGGGGTCTGGGGAGGCTTCGTGGAGGAGGTGACATTGGAACTTACTTTTGAAGGATGAAGTGGGGAAAGGCTGTGTAAGGCAGTGGAAGAAGCCAGTGCCCAGACTTGATATAGGGGATTGCAGTCGTTCAGACAGGACTTGCTCGAGTGCTGGGGGCTGAGGTGGGAGAAAGGTGAGGGGCAGACCCTACAGCCTCAGACGCTATGCTGAGGACCTAGACTGGATTCTGTGAGCCCTGGGACCACTATAGGGCTGGATTTGAGAGAATCCAGGTGACCTTCCTGCATCCACTAGACCCCCAAGGCGCAGTGGGAGCAGTTTTTCACATTGCAGGCCACAACCTGTTAGTGGGAATGCAAGATCTATTTAGTGGGCTGCAGCCAGCATGTTACAAAACGAGGGTAGAGGGAGAAGGAAAATAGAAAACCTCAGTGTTGATTGCACATCGGAGAGATGGGTATTGTGTCGAGAAACTTCGGTTTTATGTCAGGGAAGTGTGTGTGGATACTGGGTTGCAATGTGAGATGTATTTCTCACTATGGCTCACACTTTTAAAAGCTTTAAAACTATTTCAAGGCACAGAAGGCTGACTGGAAGTGGTGAGATTGGCTGGTGTGGTCATCAAGGCTCAAGGTGAGGCAGGCCAGCCTGGGGTCATGGTACTAGGGACAGAGAGGGGAGGATGGAATCCAGCATTGACCAGATACAGCAAGTGAAGCTGGAAAATTTGAGGCTGACTCAGGTCAGAAAGTCACCAGCCCAAGGCTCCTGGGCCAAGGTCACACCTTGTTTGAGATACTCAATCTTGGTACCCCTTTGGTGGTAAACTGGAAGCCCAAGTTGCTGGGGGGAAAGAGGGGAAGGGACTAGGGGAAAAGGGATCCTCCTTCCTTTTTGTTGATGTCCTGGGCCTCTAAAGTCCTGGTGTTACAACTCTAACTTTTCACTCCAGTTGTCGAATGTGTTCAAATGAAACTCTAGCAGGCAGCTCCTCCTGGGATCTGCTGGTATGCTGAGAGCATCCTTCTTTGCGAGCTAGGCTGGTAACAACTCTACTTCTGCCATCCTTCCACCAGGAACATCGTGAAGGGCATGAGAGAGCTCCGGGAGGTGCTGCGGACTGTGGAGACCAAAGCAACTCAGAACTTCAAAGTGGTAATGTGGGGTGCTGGCGGTGCTGGCTTATTCAGGAGTCAGTTTTGGTGGGAGACAACAGAAGTCCTTGCAGGGAACCTCTGAAGCAGGGGTGGCAGTAGGTCTCCTGCCTGCTCATGGCAGAGGTTGGTAATCATTCTCAGCATCCTTTCCCACGCAGCCAGGGAGGTGCAGCCTCCTTCTCCCTGTAGCACCGCAGATAGCCCCTCATGTTAAATCAGATTTCAGATCTACTGCCAGCCCTTCCCTGGGCAAACTGTGTTGACAAACTTGCTACCACCACTAGCAAGGTGCTATGCGAACTTTTAGGGATATGTTTGCCATCCTAATAAATAACAGTGACCCTGCTTGCCTGCCCCAACACAGGCCTGCCCTCCTAGGCCTTAGTTCGTCCAAACCAGAGCCACAGCTGCTTCTCATGCTCTAATTCTCAGTCAAATAATCAGAAAGGCACCTGAGAGAGAGAGCTGCTGTGCCTGTGGCATTATGCTCTTCCCAACACTGCAGGGGCCTGCTGAATACTCAGAGTGGGGCTGGGCTCCAAGGGGTCAGGAGAGGGAGAAAATACTCCTCTTGTCTAGGAGAGGAGAGAAGAGAAAAGATGAGGTAGGAGCCGTCTGAGGCCAGCAGAGGGGTGGGAGCCCCAGTGTTGGAGGGACTGAAGGAGCAAGGGGGTTCCCTTGGGAGTGGGGTTGGGGGGCCTACCCATAGGGCTGCACATTGCAAGGGGGGCAGATTTAGCTGGGTGATGGGCAGAGGGCATTCTAGGTCATGCTGGGGTAGAGCTGACAACTGTGTCTGGGTCTGAGTGCTTCCCTCTCTGCCAGATGGCGGCCAAGCACCTGGCGGGGGTCCTGCTGCACTCCCTGAGTGAGGAGTGCTACTGGAGCCCCCTGTCCCACCCTCTGCCCGAATTCATGGGCAAGGAGGAGAATTCTTTCGCCACGCAGGCCCTGCGGAAACCTCACCTCTATGAAGGAGACAAGTAAGTTCTGCCTGCCCTGCTGCACCTCACCAGCCTCACATCTCGCACAGGGTTCTGTCCCCACTGGTGGCTTTCTCTTCGCCCCATACTCTCCTCCAGTCTCCACTCAGCACACTGCCAGGCAGCCTCCTCAGTCTCAGCAGGAGCCAGATCAGCTAGAGAAGGCAGGTGATGGGGTCCAGGTTGTGGAGATAATCCTATAAGGCACTCGGAGGCCAAAGAAATCATTTGGAGGTGACCTGTCTTCCCAGTAGTCCTGTCTGATACACCTCTCTCACTTGTGCCGTTCCTCGAAGGTGGGGTCGCTCGTTGCCCCAGCCATTCCCTGCGGTGCTGGTGCTGGGAGGAAAGTTTCCTCCCCAGGAGCGTCCGTACTATTCCAGCCCAGCGGCCGCTGCCCACCGCGGCCTTTCAGATCCAAAACTCTGAGGCATATGGTATCCGGTGCCCATGAATTATGCAGGAAGGGGTCACCTTACCGGGCTGGTGCTGACTCCAGGGCAGAAGGCTGGCATGGTGGGTCAGTGGTGCTGTCTGGTGAGGTGCATGCTCTAGCCAGGCCTGTCATTTGTGTCTTTCAGCCTCTACTGCCCCAAGGACAACATCGAGGAAGCCCTCCTGCTCCTCCTCATCAGCGAGTCCATGGTAAGCTCCAGGATGTCCTTCAGCGGCCTCTGGCCCTCTGACCCTGTGGGGAAGGGCTGTGGGGCCCAGGTACAGGCCATCCGTGACCTACCCAAACTCTGTCGCCCAGGGATACTCCTAAAGTAGATGCTTCTTGGCCCTGGGCCCCCATACAGCAAGTCTTGCTTATTAGGTTTGGGATTGGCTATAGAAGGCTTCATTTGGAGGCCTGCATTCTACCGCCGAACAAGTAGAGACTGAGTACCTGGAGCCACACGCACCTCTTTTGGGATTAAAAAAATGATCATCAACAAGGTCACAGTAAAATGTTACATAGCTGTGTGCTGGGTGCCGTGACAGATATGAGAACATGGCAGGTAGGGAATGGAAGGAATGTGCACTTTGGAGTCAGAAAGCCTGGAATCAGGTTCCAGTTCTGCATGTTAGCTGAGGGCTGGGGCACATCACTTATTTTCTCTGAGCCTCCGTTTTCTCCCCTGTAAGATAACAGTACTCACAAAGGTAAGCGTGCCTATGGAAGGAGTTCATTTATTCACGCAACAGCTATTTATTGAGCATCTACTTTGTGCCAGGCCCTACTCTAGATGCCAGAGATGCCACAGCAGACAAATGGGGAAAAGTCCTTTCCCTCATGAGCTTACATTCTAGTGAAGAGAAGCAGGCAGTAAATTAATCAAAAACTACAATATGCAGGGTGTCCACGCATGAGTGCTATGGGAAAAGAACACAGAGCAGAAGACGAATTGTGCTAGACGAAGCACACATGAAGTTGGCTGTTTAGACTTTTCTATAGGACCCATTGCTCATGTCCTAGGCAGGAAGATGAGGCAAACGCACGCATGTGGATGCACGCACACACTCATGCATGTGCACATATGGTGGCCATGGTACCAAGGAATGTTTGCCCAGGGCTAAGCACTTTGGAGGCTCAGCGTAAGGAGAGTGCAGTGTGGCTGTGTGGTTGAGAAGGTGGTAAGATGAAGGATGGACTGGACTCGTCCAAAGAGGCCACAGGAAGAGTGGGACAGGAGCAGCAGAAGCCAAGCACAGAGAAGTCATCTACATGGTCAGGTCCAAGTCCTCCGACCAAGGGGCCCATCAGAGCTGGTGAGCTGGGAACCACCGGGTTGAGAAATTGGTTTTTAAAAAAACAATGCATCTGAGAGCAGTGTATGGATGCGGAGGTTGAGAAACCAAGACCCCATGAGCAGGATCCCTGAACAGCCAGAAATGAATGTTCCCTTGGATGTCTGGGACTTTGCGATGCCAGGGCTTGCTTAGATAGCGTTGGTAATCAGATTACCTCTGGTGCCTCAGGCCTCCCAGCAAATAGGAGCAGGCACTGGGCTGTGGGACAGAGGGATTGCATCCTGCCTCAGCTGGGGCTGGTCCGTGTTGGATCTGAGAGTTTCTGTGTAGGGTGTGGATATTTGGATGGGAGTGCCAGCTGGCCAGGGTGTTGTCCTAAAATGTTTGCCTGTGAGGTGGGTAAGTGGTTGCCCAGGGGAGGGGCCATCTCACTGGTTAGCAGCTGTGGAGATAAGAGGCACTGTGTGCCACATCTGATTTTCATGGGAGAACAGTGTGCTTTTTACTTTTAAAAATGGGCCCTTACTCTGACCACAGACTGAATCCTGTATAGACCAGTACTCCCATCCCCTCTCCGCCATTTTACCACATCCACCCTCCAGTGAGACTGCACTGGAATCACCTGTCTGGAAACATGGGTTTTTTTGTGGGTTTTTTTTTTGGTTTTGTTTTGTTTTGACACAGAGTCTCCCTCTATTGTTAAGGCTGGAGTGCAGTGGCGCAATCCTGGCTGCCTACAACCTCTGCCTTCCAGGTTCAAGTGATTCTTCTGTCTCAGCCTCCCGAGTAGCTCGGATTACAGGTGTTCGCCACCACGCCTGGCTGATTTTTATATTTTTAGTAGAGACGGGGTTTCACCATGTTGACCAGGCCGGTCTCGATCTCTTGACCTCAGGTGATCCACCTGCCTCAGCTCCCAAAGTACTGGGATTACAGGCGTGAGCCACTGCACCCAGCCTAAACACCGGTTGTTTTGTAGCCTTTGTGTACTGAGGCTTCCAGTGCAGTTTACAGGTAGGTGGTGAAAGGCTGAAAACAGGGTCATCTGTTAGGTCCTTTCTCAGCCAGGGAGGTTCCAAGCTGATTAGGTGAGCATTATGTTCACCTAATTGAAATCGCCTAATTTTCAATTGTTTATGACCTACAAAAACAACAGTTTCATAAAAGTTCACTCTAATGCTATATGTTCCCATCTTACAGATGACAAAAGTGAGGTCCAGGACAGGTATGGCTGTTGGTCAAGGTCGTATACTAATAAGCCTTGAAGCCATGACTCAAACATGTCCTTCTCCCTCAGCAGTTTCCAAGCCCCAGGATGCAGGGCTCCTGGACTTCCATCCTGGTGTTTCCCTTGCCCACTACTCTGATCCTTGGTCTTCTCAAGTGTAAAAGGCCAGGGAGGTGACTTTGGGGATCAGAGGGCTTTGTAAAAGGGACAAGCCTGTCAGAGTAAGGATGGTCATAATTTTTCTCCTGGTAGGGAGTGAGGCTGGGCTCTGTCTTCCCAAGTCATTTTCTGTAGCCTCTGCTTGATCGAAGTCCTCAGGACAGAGTTCAGATGCCTTTCAGTTAAGGCTGTCCACCCACTCCCAAACCCTCCAAGCAGAGAATGGTCTTTCACAGAAACATGGCCCATGCTTGGAGCCAGGTGGGTTTTCCTGAGTATGCATTCTCTTTCAAGCAGCTCTTTCCCTTTTGCAAGACAGTGTGGCTGGCAGCCTGCCTCAGAGACTAGGGGTTAGAGGGTGGGTGAGTCTGGGTTGGCTGGCCAGGCGGTGTCCTGGGAGATTCCCTGTGGCGCAGGAAACAGGCACTGCCCAGACACTGTTTGCACTGAGGCTGGGAGGAGGCACCTCTTGTGGGGCTGGCTGGTTTGTTTCCCCTTATACCCAGCCTGTTAGACATTCAGAAACTTGAGAGATTTGGGGGAGAGTGTTGGCAATGTACTTAGCTTTAGTGTTTCGTCTGCGGTGACCTTTTCCCCGGGTGCTGGATCTGGCCTCTGTGGCCGGGAATGGTTTATCCGAGTGGCCAGACCTGCCATTTCTCCTGCCTTTGTTTTAAATTCTCCTTCCCTCCAGTCTCATTCTTGAATAGTGAGAGTACTAGGGTATGGGTTCCACTCTACCAGGTTCCCAAGCTCCTGCCCTGATACCACTCAGCTGAACCCCAAGCCTCCATGCACCTGTAGGGTTTTCCTCATCCCCCTTTGATGTTGGCTGGGTTTGGCTGCAAATGATGGGCTTGGAGAGAAACCTCTAGAACAGCAGCTGTTGGCCTTGGCTGCTATTTAGGTTCTCCTAATACCTGCAGAATGTGTTATGCTGCAGTGAAAGCTTTTCCCGCAGAGCCAACCCAGGAGGCATCATCATCATTGCTTCCACCTCCAGGACATCTAGAGCAGCTGCTGCAGGAAACAGTGTTTGCAGGTTTCCTTATTTTGTGGTTTGGAACTCAGAGAAGTGGCTGTGTGGTATGGGGCTGCTACCTTGGATATGGTTTTTATTACAAGCTGACTATGTGCGATCAGAATGAATGAGGGAGACCTTGTCTTTCCAGAGGTAAATAGAAACCTTACTAATGCTTTCACAGGAATGGAAGGAGGATATGAAATATAACTGGTTGAAGATGATTTGTGTTTTAGACCTAGTTTTGAGTCTTTGGGGCCAAAATGGCATTTAAAAATCCACCTACTTATCATTGATTCATTCATATATCCATTATCTACCCACTTTCCCATTTGTCCTTCTGGCCATCTACCCTCCTATCATTTCTCCATCTACCCATCCTCCTACCCACCATTCATTCATCCACTTATTAATCCATTCATCTATCATCCATCCATCCACCCATTAATCCATTCATCCACCATCCATCCATCCACCCATTCATTCATCCATCTAACCACCCACCCACCAATCATGCATCCCCCTACCCATTCATCCATTTATCCATCCACCTCCCATTCATCCAACCACCCTTTCATCCATCCATCTACCCACCATTCATGTATCCACCTATTCATCCACCTATCATTCATCCATCCACCCATCATTCCATCCATCCCCCATTCATCCATCCAGCCACCTACCAACCCTGCATCCACCTACCATTCATCTGTCTATCCATCCACCATGTATCCATCCATTCATTTACTCATCTATCCATCCACCTACCATCCATCCATCTAATCTTGTTCGAGCAGCTACAGCATACAGGACCATGCTCAGCACTGTAAAGACAATAATTAATAGTTCAATCATAGTTCCTGTCCCAAATGGACTCCCATCTACTGCAGTTTGTTCCCAGGGATGTGGAGGAAATCCTGGTCCCCAAATCAGAAGGAATGATCCCAGTCTGCTGAACCTCAAATGTAAATTCTTGTTTTTGAAAGAACTGTGTATCAAACCAGCCTGATTTTCTGAAACAGTTGGGGAACTAGGAGATACAGGAATCTTTATTATTTCTAAAATACTGATCTGGGACATAAAAATATGTGCTAAAGTAAACTGAACCCTTGGATCTCTGTTTCTTTTCGCTGGCGAACAAGTTGCTGCTCTTAGAAATGGAAAGGGTACAGAGCCCTGGTGTTGAGAGAGTGGGGTGGATAGGTAAGTCTCTGAGTCCTGGGACTCTGCAGATTAACAGACTTTGTGCCATGCCCGATGCTGGGCATCTGGCTATTTGAATCTTGAATTTACCATTCACAATCTATGTGGCCTGGGTGAGCTTCTTACCACCCTGAGCCTCGGTTTTCTCATCTGTAAAATGGAGCTAATAAGGTCTCTCTTGTATGACTTTGGTGGATTAAATAAGAAAATGAACGTGAAGGTGCCTGGTACATTTTGGTTCTTCAATATGTGCTCATTTTGTTCTGATAAATACTTGATTCTGACTTAGTCATTTTTGAA